CTGATCTCGGAAGCTCAGCAGGTTTGAGACTGGATGCAACTGGCATCATAGATGCATCGCCATGCATGACTGCACGGTTAAATGGGCGAGCGGGGACTACTGTATGGTTTGACAGCACGGGACAGCCCTACGTATGAATGTTGAACTTCATTCGCATCTAATGCCAACCGAGGCATGGCCATCATCACTGTTACTATTGTTATTTCTGTGTTCTTGCCACGTGCCTGGGGGGGAGTGGTGATGCAGCCGTGAGTGGACCACTGCCTTGTGGACTACCTGAGTTCCAGTCCCGTCCGGACGTAGCTGATAACAAACAACATCAAGTCTGCACTTACTAACGTGGACAGTACGGTCCCTTCGCCTGATGAAGGCCACTTGTGTTGTGGCCGAAACGTCGTGATTTTTGTTGTTTTATTTTTTACCTACGTGACTTTACGGAATATAACCAAAGAGTGTGGTGAAGTATGGTCAAATACACCCCCCCCCCTACCACGACCCGCACGGCGTGGAGAGGAGACCATCCAGCAGTGGATTAGCAAAACGTAACCGTACATGTACATTGGGTTTTATATGGACATTTCCAGGGCTTAATCTTTCATGACATTTTCCTGGGACCCCCCCCCAAATCCCCAGACAACTGCCCCCTACCTCTGACAGGGGGTGAATATTTTTTTCCGGAGCTTAGCCTGGACAGCTCCATCTGAGGGAGTGTTCTGTGTGTGTGTGGCAGATTTTACTTGGCAACTGGGCGTGTGTCCCAAGACGCCTCACGTGCCCTGTCTTGCCACGACCACACGCGCGTCAACGTTTGGCATGTTCGACATGACGCTTATCGTTCAGACCCCCTGTACTTACACTCCTGGATGGAGGCTTCGTCTCCACGCCATGTAGACCGTGGAGGTTTTTTTGACGATACTTTATCTTGTTGGTCGGTACAGGTCGGTGAAGGTTAGTGAGGATCGGGGTTGCACAGTTATCGAACACCACTGGTTTGCCAAGGCTGGGAATCGAACCGTCATTAAAAAAAACAGTCGAGCTCAGTCCAGGCTTCACAGGATGAATACAATACGTATTATTGCTCAATTACAATTTCGACTGTCCGTTTAATATCCCACATATGTAATATGTTTGTACGGTTTTAGGGTACAAATTGTTTGGCAATTGTTAGAATACACGTACATTGTTATCGATGGAAGTTTTATTCATGAAAGGTCAGTCTTAAAATACAAAAATGCCCTTTATATTTACTTTTAGAAAACGCATTTAAAGAAAAAAACCACTATGAGCCACGGCACTGCATAAAGACATTTGCGAGTTATGTCAAACTGCACAGTGTCGTCTCGCCAGACACACTGAAATGGGATTATTTTGGTTCAGGTTAAAGCCTGAAATGCTCGTCTGTGAAAAGCCCTGCTTTTCTTATAATACATTGAATACATGCACGGTCATATGCCCTATGCTCTTAGTTTACAGATGTGAATGGGTCCTGGTGGTTTCAGATTTTCCCTGACACCGGCGGTAACCGGAGATGTGTCCCGTTCACCTGAAATGCACGCTGTTTAGATTTTTTGTTATATTATTTCTTCAGTGCTGCCAGACCTATACAAACAAGACAATATAGTTTTCCACATTTTCAAACTGATATATTTTTTTGGCATAATCGTGTGTTGTACAATTGTGCCTAAAATGTGCAGGTAAATATATTGCAATACAGTAGCATCTATAATATACAGGTAAATATGCCGTATGACATTATATGAGGGATTGGCCAAAACATTTCATTTAGCTCTTCTAATGCATTACTGTATAGCCTTTGATAAAATGGCCCAAAATGCACAGATCTCATCAATGCTGAGTGGGGTTGAACCTGGATAGTGCCTGGATGGGTGGCCATGTGCATGTCAGTTTCTTGTAAGTGGCTTACGTGTAGGGGAAGCAGAGGGCAGTGTAGTGAAATTCATGACATCGCTCTTTACTTCTCGGCTCGACTAACCCACGTTGACTACTAGTGCGTTGAAGTATGGGCAGCTAATCCCAGCAGCTCACGTGGCACGGTGAGGCCCTCATCCTGCACTGGATAACAAAAATGACCAAACATATACAAGGTTTTATATTACTTGATACACTAGTAAAGAATACCGGTTTACCAAAAGATATTCCGAAACTTGCTGGCCATTGTTTAAATAACACTTACTTCTTATGGAGAGGGGATTTCTTTAAACAAAAGGAAGGAGCAGCAATGGGTTCTCCTTTATCCCCTGCTATAGCAAATTTGTACATGGAAAACTTTGAAATAAGAGCACTTGCCTCGAGCACATTAAAACCATCCTTTTGGTTTAGATATGTGGATGACACTTTGGTTGTCTGGCCACATGGTAAAGATACACTTAATGATTTTCTAAATAATCTCAATGCACAAAACCCGGCTATCCATTTCACCATGGAAATGGAGGTGAATAACACACTCCCATTCCTAGATATTTTGCTTGGACATGGCTTAAACGGTAAAATAACACGCAGCGTTTACAGAAAGCAAACGCACACTGATGCCTATCTGAATGCAGAATCACATCATCATCCAGCTCAGAAATCCTCTCTTATCAAGACGCTCATACATCGGGCTAAAACAGTGTCAGATGGTGAGAGTCTAGTGAGAGAGATTAAGCACGTTAAAGACGCACTACGACAGAATGGCTACAATAATGCTCAAATTAACAGAGCACTGAATGCCAAATCACGATCGCAAAGCAATACTGCTGAAAGCGACCAGATTGTTAAAACAATAAAAATTCCATACATCTCAGGAGTAACTGACAAATTAGCCCTTGTTTTGCAAAAGCAAAACATTACAGTAAGATTTGGTACAGTACACAAAATTCAAAAACTAGTATCTTGCACTAAAGGCGCATTACCTAAATTATCAACAGAAGGTGTCTATCGGATTAATTGTTTATGTGGCAGCTGCTACATTGGGCAGACGGGACGTAACATCAGTGTAAGACTAAAAGAACATCAGAGAAATATTAAATTATCTCAAACACAACTGCCGGCAGTGGCAGAACATGCTTGTCAACAAGGACACTCAATTGATTTTGACAATGTTGCAGTGGTGTGTAAAACTAATTATTACTGGCAAAGACTAATTATAGAATCCATTGAAATTGAGAGGAACAAGAATAACTTTAATCGCTTTGACAGCTAAAGGTTTAGTGCGGCCTGGAAGCGTATTATTAAATAATACACATTAGTAATTCTTTAATCAAAATGTAATCTACAACTCATTACTAATCATAACCAATGACTGATTACTAATCGATTATAATTACAATACCCCCCTCCGCCTCTAATCACTGCACCTGATATGAGTTAAGTGATGACGTCACCCTGCTGTTCTATATAAAACCGGGAGCAAGCGAGGGCTTTACCATTCTGGCGAATTGCCGATGATGCTGGATGTATTTACCAGCGAAACGTCGTACTGAAACTGTAAATGTGGATTCACTCTTCAACACACCGGTGGGCTAAAGTAGTGAATTATTTGTCTTTTGTCAACGTGACACTTTTTTTGCTGATTGGCCGTGTCGGGTGGTGGAGGGTTACGACACATTTATAAATAAACGCGATCTAACCCAAAAACCTTTATTATGAATAATATTGGTCGCGAAAGCCTACGTGTTAAAGAGAAATTACATATCCAAGGTAAATAACAACAGTGTTGGTAATGACCATTGGTGGTAGTAAAACAATAAAGACAAGATATTGAAATTGCCAGAGAGGGCCTCCCAAAGCTATGAACTACTATTTATTTTACCAGGTAAGGCCAACTGAGCAATATAGCCATTTGTTTTCAGATGTGACCAGCTATCACAAAATAGCTCAAATGAAGTGTTTCTAATTGTGGAGGGGGAAAACCGGAGGGACCAGGATAAAAATCCACACGACCACAGGGAGAGAGGCATGCAAACTCCAAATATCCAGCAGGCGTCAGGGTCGGGATCCTGTATGCCAGGTGCGAGAGTTAAATCTCACCTCCGTGGTGCATATTACCAACCCCGGGATCCCATCTAATCTAATCCAGTGCCAGTTGAGCTAATCGGAAGATTACTAGTTAACGTCCATGGATGGTGGTTAACTTAGCCCATTATCCCCTCAGGAAAGCTGAAATAAGTACTGCCTTTGGCTCCGCCACAGGAATGTGGAACTTCCACCACTGGCTTAGGGCTGCAAGCAGACGATGAGCTAAAGGAAATAACTTCACTTAATTTACTCATACCATGAGTGTGGTGAGCGGCATGTGGGGCTCATAGCGATAGCGTGGGGAGTGTGGTGAGTTGAGTGTGGTGAGCTTTGGAGTCTGGGGAGCGTGGTGAGCTGTGGAGTGTGGTGTGTTGAGTGTGGTGAGTTGTGTGGTGAGCGGTGGGGTGTGGTGAGCTGTGGAGTGTTGAGTTGTGAAGTGTGGTGAGTTGTGTGGTGAGCTGTGAAGTGTGGTGAGTTGTGTGGTGAGCTGTGGAGTGTTGTGAGCTGTGGAATGTGGTGAGCTGAGTGTGGTAAGTTATGTTGTGAGCTGTGGAGTGTGGTGAGCTGTGGAGTGTGGTGAGCTGTGGAGTGTGGTGAGCTGTGGAGTCTGGTGAGCTGTAGAGTGTGGTGAGCTATAGAGTGTGGTATCTGTGCTTCTGTATCGCTGTGTATCTCCGTGTCTGTAACGTGGTAGTATCTCTGTGTCTGCGTGTATCTGCACAGACCAATTGCTCGTGGTTGCCAGGGCTCCTCTTTACTGCTAGTCCAACTTCGAGAGCACTTGATTGAATATTTCTGCAGTCGTGTCCAGGTTATAGCGGACCTGAAATTCACAACTCACGTGATGACCGCGGCTTCTGTGACAACCCCATAGCCTTAATTATGAGTTTTATTTTTAAAAACATTGTAAACCATAGGATTTTAACACAGGTGTGTAAATAAAGCAGTGAACCAACCATGAAGAAATATCACAAGTGATTTTCTTCGGAAATAAATATTTATTGTAGTAGATAATAAATGAACATGTTTTTGTTATTATTATATTTTTTTTCCCCCAGTTTTATAACAGTTCTATCCCGATTTCGCTATTGCCGCCGAATCCAGCTTGGCAGGCTGGGAAGACTCCAAGGGCTCGTTGTCTTCGCTGGGCCACCGCCGTCTTGGACACGTCTTCTTCCGGTCATCATGCTGCCAGCGAAGTCTTTCATCTTGCGGGGCCTCCCAGCGTCCTCCTTGCTGACGAGAAGCGTGCGGATAACCATCACCTGGGTTTGCACGCGGGACAAAGTCGCATTCTATTTCAGCTGCTGCAATCGTTCGGAGTTACGCACAGACCTGTGTATATTTATACTACAGAACTGTGATCAGAATCACCGTCAGCTTCACAATGACAACTGTAACAATAGGCTCACGTGAATGCAGAACCATTTATGGATAGGGGAGGAATCCAGGGATGGAATGGACAGATATGTACACAGCTCAATTTCCAATCCAACCCAAAATTTATACGCATGGCATCTGATTAGCATTTTTCAGTTTCAGATCACGATAATCGAACTTGTATCTTCAAGAATGTGTGATGTATAATGTGTGATGCAGGAATGTACAATGCAATACCCAGTCAAACAATATTTGTTTCAATCTTGATTTGAAGCGTTCGTGACTGCAGGAATCCATTTTCTTTGGTTCTTTCGGTAAAAGTCACGTAGGTAGAAAAACAATAGATCACGAAGTTTCGATCGCAACACAAGCAATCGTCATCAGGTGGTCTTGCTGTGGTTGTCCCACCTGATGACGATTGCTTGTGTTGCGATCGAAACGTCGTGATCTATTATTTTTCTACCTACGTGACTTTACCGAAAGAACCGAAGAGTATAATAAATATTCTTAGCTCTTTCGGTAAAGTCACGTTGAAGGGAAACAATAAAATAATAAAATATATATAAGTATATATATTATTGTTTATATATTACATATTTTATTGTTTCCCTTCAACGTGACTTTATAAAATAATAAAATATATATAAATATATATTATTGTTTATATATTAAACAATATATTACAATAATATATTATATATATTCACGGGGAAACATTTATTATACTTCTTTTGTTCTTTCGGTAAGTCACGTAGAATGAGAATAAAATAATAAATTGATAAAATAAAATAACACAATAATATTCTCACGACGTTTCGGCCATAGCGGGAAACAGAGCCGCGGGGCCGAAACGTCGTGAGAATATTATTGTGTTATTTTATTTTATCAATTTATTATTTTATTCTCATTCTACGTGACTTTACCGAAAGAACCAAAGAAGATGAATCATTGCAGTCACGAAAGCTCTAAATCGAAATTTATTATACTTTTGATTTAAAGCTTTCGTGACTGCAGTAATTCATGTTCTTAGCTCTTTCGGTAAAGTCACGTTGAAGGAAAACAATAAAATATATAATATATAAACAATAATATATATTTCTATATATTTTATTATTTTATAAAGTCACGTTGAAGGGAAACAATAAAATATATAATATATAAACAATAATATATTTATATATTTTTTATTATTTTATTGTTTCCCTTCAACGTGACTTTACCGAAAGAGCTAAGAATATGAATTACTGCAGTCACGAAAGCTTTAAATCAAAAGTATAATAAATATCGATTTAAAGCTTTCGTGACTGCAATGATTCATCTTCTTTGGTTCTTTCGGTAAAATCACGTAGAATGAGAATAAAATAATAAATTGATAAAATAAAATAACACAATAATATTCTCACGACGTTTCGGCCCCGCGGCTCTGTTTCCCGCTATGGCCGAAACGTCGTGAGAATATTATTGTGTTATTTTATTTTATCAATTTATTATTTTATTCTCATTCTACGTGACTTTACCGAAAGAACAAAAGAAGTATAATAAATGTTTCCCCGTGATCGTTTCTCACTGGGACTCATCGGTGGATCGCGAGCAACGAGCGTTGTGTTGTCGGCTGTGTGCGCCCCCAGTGTTGCGACTCACCCCACGCGGGTTCCTCCTTTGGAAATAGCGGGCCTTGGAATTGTAGACAAACGCCTTCCGCACCAATTGTGGACTCAGGCCGCCATCACGCGGCTTCTGTTCTCAGAGCAACAGCCAAGATGCACAATAAGAGGCACACACACGCACTCCCGTTAACGATGTGGAATCTCTGGCATGCAAAAAAAAACCTCTTCACTCTCCGTATTTCCAAATGGAGTTCAGAAACATTACTCGACGTACAGGTACGAACATTATTTATGCTAGCTCGTTGATTCCTAATTTGCTCGTATTATAAAACGTAAGAGGTGTTTCTTGAATAATTACACAACACTGCTCTGAGCAACACTTTACAACGAACTTTCCCTGCACACTTCTGAATCACGCCGTGCTGCGCGTCTGGCCATGATTTTAAACAAACGGAGCTCCGGGCATGCGCTCTGTCCGTCCCTCTCCCTGAACCGGATCTAATGACTAGCCAGGTGAAGTATGGCCAAAACTCCCCACCATCCCAGTCCGCACCCACATCACCCTCCGCGGCCAGAGGGACACAACGACTAAGTCACGATGTGTCACGTCGCCTCATCTGCTCACTAGCTAATGCGCCTGTCCGATGCCGTGCCAGCAACATCCGAATAGAGACCTGTTATAGGCCTCGCACATTCTCCTGCAGGCCCCGCGGCTCTGTTTGCCGCTACAACTTGCTGACCCGCCCATACTGGACGTCTGTGAAAGACTAAAACAGCCTCATAGCTTATCGGACTGCTCCAGTCTCAAGAGAGATTCTGACGCTGTTCAGGTCCCCCGTACCTGCCTCCAAAACGGGGTTGGGTTGGTTCGGGTGGTGGTGGTTGTAGAGGGGGAGTGTGCAGGGGAGGTAGCGGAGGGGGGTAGCGGAGAGGGGTAGCGGAGGGGGGTAGCGGTGGGGATAGTGGGGGGGGTAGTGAGGGGTAGTGGGGGGGTAGCGGAGGGGGTAGTGGGGGGGGTAGCGGGGGCGCAGGGGAGTAGCGGGGGAGGCGGCCTCAAATCGACCAAAATGCCCTCCGGGATCGATCTACTGTATACAAATTTGATATTAACTTATTTTAAAGTTGACCGCTACCCCCACGCTAAAGTGTTATTTGACTGTTGTAGTGCGGCGGTGCGATGAACGTACCTTGCGTGCCCAAATCCACGCGATCACTTGCACTGCACTGAATCCCGTGCTGATTGCGGAGATGACGGTCGACAAGAGGCTATGTCGGTGCTGCTCTCGCGGCTCCGGCGGTGGTTGAATGTCGCACGGCCTCTGCTCGGCGGGGACGTCTTCTCTCTCGTTGCTGTCCGGTATCGATTGGCTCGGAAAATCGGTCGAAGCAAAGTCGGCATATGCCATGGGGGCATTGCCACCAAGATCATCGGGATTTCCAAGAGGAGCAGCATTGCCACCAAGATCATCGGGATTTCCAAGAAGAGCAGCACTGCCACCAAGATCATCGGGATTTCCAAGAGGAGCAACATTGCCACCAAGATCATCGGGATTTCCAAGAAGAGCAGCACTGCCACCAAGATCATCGGGATTTCCAAGAGGAGCAACATTGCCACCAAGATCATCGGGATTTCCAAGAA